AACGCCCGTCCTGAAACTATCAGGTTATGGTCAAATACGTTTTGGGGTTTAATTACACGGAGCAAACAGGTAAGCATGTCTAATTGCAGCCATCACTGAGCGATGCGTTCTAAGACTACTTTGGAAAAAATATCTTTATTCGTGATAAATAAAGCTGTTTCTATACAAACGTTTGTACACTGGGTGCGCTGTCACAAAGTGCTTTTCCTTTTAATTAAAGAACTCTTTCTAGGAAATGAACTGATCCTCAGCACCAGAGTTGAGGCTTGGCAGCAGTTCTGTACTTGTGGCTAGTGAGTTCAAGAGAAGGAAGACAGCAGTTTTTCTTTGATCATTTTTTGCTAGATACTATTTTTTTTGTCTTGTAACTTCTATTGCTGAGCAGAGTGACTCCTGACAGGAGGAGAAACATGGGAGGAGCAAGAGTATGGCTTAAGTGTGACACTGCAAAGGAAGCATATATATGATGTTTTTAGGATTGGAACCAGGCTGCACCTCTGGATAAGCCGGTCCTCAAGCAGTGCACAACAACGGGAACAAGTGGCAGGTTAAGGCCTTTACCAAAAACACCACACAAAAGGATCAGCTAATCTAAATGATTTTATGTCACAATGGAATACATAAAGCTAATGATAACCCTACCATCAAGAAGGTTACAATACAATAGCACAAAAGTCTCAAGACTGAAGTAGTTTTAAAATGCATCTAATTCTTTATCAAATAAGCATAGTAGTAAGGAAGCTATTTTACAAAGTAAGCAGCAACACACAGTCTTAGTTTCAAGAAAGAGAAACATAATACAAAATCAAAACAAAGCTCAGCTATAAACAGCCACCATTACTCTGCACGTATTACTCTGTCCATAAGACACAGGAAATCAAAACCCATTAGACTGACTGCTTCCACTGAAGGAAATTGTGCCAAATTTTCCATTAATAGAAAAGTCAGTAGTAGAACAACTTTCTTCAAAGAAAGAAAACACCATCAGCCATTCATATTGCATACTAGGATGTAGTGATATTAAGGTTACACTGGAAGGACAAGTTTCCCAGAATTGAAAAGTTTCTTAACTTGATTTGTAAAATGTAGTTCACTATATTCATTGTCCTTTTGAAACATTTATGTAGCAGGGATCTTTGGCAACCCAAATTCATCCACCAATACACCATCCTATAAGGAAGGAGAAAAAAGAAACAGGTTAACAACTCTCCAGTCGGAACATTTTGCAAAATTTTCCTCACAATTTTCATTTAGTGATAGAGATCTGTAATTGTCATTGTGTGACAGCTGGGATCAAAATAAAAGCGTTGGCATTCTTCCTCATTACTAAGCTGTATTAGTGAATATGAAAAGCAAAAATGTGAAAAACTTTAAGAATATGAAGTCTACCAAGGCAGCAGTTAGAAAATGCCATTGTGGCTCTTGAAAAACATAATAAAGAGCATTAAGTACCCTGTATTATCTCATATTCCGATCTGTTGAAAATACCTAGTTATCATGAAGTTAGCCTATGCTTTAGAAGGCTAATTCATCACCAGAGAGATCAAACCATGTAAGTAGACCACACAAAATGTAGAAAACATATTAAGCACAATTTTTGTTTAACGTATTGAGGATTCTTAAGAGCAACCAAACCACATAAATGCAATAAATTCAAAACAAAAAGAATGCATTTTGCTTTTCAAGAAAGGACTCACTTTGTTTTTTGTGTCAGTAGGAGTGGCCTCTGGGATTGCTGGAGCAGATGCAGCTTCATCTAAGTAGGAATTGTCTTCATCAGCTAAAAGTTCATCACCTAATGCATCCAGTTCTGAAATAAAATTATGTAGGTAGGTTCAAAAATTAAGCAAGGCATTTATTTTGCAGAAAAAAAGTATCTCTTATAGAGAAACATGGTTCAGAAGGAATCCCTTTGTTTCTTTCTTAGTTTCTTACTTTCTCATTTAGCTATCACTCAGGAATACAGATACATACACACACACACCCCACCCCCCATAAGGGGAACATTTCTTCCTCACTGTAGAATTCCATTAGTATGTCCTTCATGTTTGCCTCATACTTTTATTACTGGCACTTGAAAGAAGTGCCAGTAACAAAAGTTAAGTTTCTTGTAAAAAATGCAGATGTATGTTTAAAAGAGTAATTAAAACATATTTTTAAGGCTTTTGAGCATTTGGCTAATGAAGTTAAAATATCATGGTACTTTCTCCTCTGCCTTCCTAACCTGCTTCCAAGTCATCTTCATCAATCTCTGGTGTTCCATAGCTACGGCTCAGCGCTTCCTGGACTTCGTTGGCTTCTTCCATCATATCTTCTAACTGATCTTGTATGTCCTGGCGCAACAAAAAAATTTCAACTCGTCCACATTTAATAGTTTTAGCTAAATTTATTAGAGCTTAATCAAGAACCAATTGAATAACTCCAGCATACAAGGCGCTAACAGATGTTTTAATATATAAATCCTTTTTAAAAATAACATTAATACAAGTTAGTACACACATGTTCAGTGTTATAGCCCAGCCTCAACTACTACTAAAAAGCATAATGTAAATGATGTACCAGGTAGAAGAAGAGGAACCTCACAACAATGTCTTTGCAAAACCCTGGTCATTTTTGTACTAATTTTTTGTACTCCTGCAAATTAGAAAGCCTATTAAAAACAACCTAGAGCCTACCATTACCTTGAAAAATAGGAGACTATGAAACATGGAGAGAGTAAATCCACCTGTTGGAGATGGCCCGAACGTGCCAGAACCACCACCAAAAAAGTACAAAATATTTTAGCATACCTATTGGCACTGTCCTTGACTAAGGATTTACAGTACAGGCACTATGTAAAAATAGCATAGGAAAGAGCTTGAAGGAATTCCGCACTGACATTTGAGGAGCATTTAAGTGCAACATGCTTGAAGTTACATTTCAAGATCTTATGCTCCGAAATTGCATTTTCTGAAGACACGGTGAGGGTCTCTTGAAAATATTTTTTTCAAGGAACTACCACGAATAAGAACACAGGAGGACAAAGTAGCAGCAACACGGGGAAAAAAGAAAGAGGACAAAGAAGGCATAGAAGGAAGTAGTCACTAACATTTATGCAGAAGTACAGAGGAAAGGAAGAAGGGAGAAAGCTAAAGATGAGCCCAGTATGGAAACAACGCTTAGTGCAGTAAGGCCAACAGCTGACTGTGCAGTACCAGAGAAATTAGGAAAAAGAATTATTAGTGGTACCAAAACACCAAGCAAAAAACAGAAACCAAAGCAAGCAAAACAGTCAGCTTGCCCTTTAGTTACTTAGTCCTCTGTTCCCATCACTGTTTCAGTACAGTTTCAATATTTTGAATTATTACAGAACAGCAACTCACCTCAATTTGATCAATTTTGACTTGCTTGTAAGCTTTCTTCATTTCTTTCACTCCCAGTTTCATTGCATCAACCTAGAATAGAATGAAACAACATGCTTGTATTTAATGTAAAATATACACATTAAAAAACCAAAAAGGTGAGATGAATATACTGGTACCGTTGTCTTTGTATCCTTGAGTGCTTGAATAGTGTAATTAGCTTGTTCCATATTAAAAGACTGCTGTGATAAATTATCCCGCTGTTGTTCATACCTGTTAAAAACAATGGAAATAACGGCTTTAAAACATCACTACGCACAGCGTAAAAACATTCTTAATTTAGAAAACAAAAAACCACCAAAAAAGGAACAGTACTGTGAAGACAGGAACAGAATTAAAATTTCTAGTTTATTATAAACAAAAACAATAATCAAATAACTTCATAAACAGGAAACAAGTTATTTCAATCTTGTTTCACAGGCCATTATATACATCTATATATTTAAATCCAACAGTTGACAAAACTACTCCTGAATTAAAACTGTGCTTTAACAGAAGGTGAGACTATGTTTGTATAACCTAATGTTTCAATTACTACCAACTGGAGAAGCATATTGTTGCCTACTGGTGCTGTAAGCAGACTGGAAGGGATGCAGGTTATCCAAAAAGGAGCTTTGCCCTGGAACTTGGTGTGGGTGGGAGGGAAGGGGCAAAATGGAGAAAGGAAACTGTTACGGCTAACCAAAACGATAACGGAGACTTAAAAAACCAAAACACGCAGACACACACACACACACAAAATCATCCTTCACAGAGCCAGAGTTGTGTCCAATAAAGAACATAAAATACGTCAGGTTAAAAAACAAAGAGGAATATGTTGCAGAAAGCATTAAAACAAGCAATCAATCCTTCTTGAAACATCTGAAGCAATGCAAGACAGTCTGTGGGGCCTACGGACACTCAAGATACAAAAGGAGGAAGCAGAGCTGGCGACATACCAGAAAAACTACGCAATATTTTTTTCAACCCTCCTTCACCATGGAAGCACTTCTAATGTCTACATACTGGAAGTCTCCTTTATGAAAGGCTCATCAGAGCAGCTGACAAATTCAAGTATAAACAGAAGATAGCATGGACCAAATGCAAAGAGTAACATACTGCTGGCTCTAAATATCATTCACTCAACAGTTTTGAAGTGATTCAGAATTAAAGAGATGAACTATTCACTGACATATAACTTTTTAGTTAGTCCCCAGGCACTGATATGGAAGGTTGCTAAGGCAACAGTTTTTCACGAGACATCTGGATACATCAAGGTGACATCAGTACCGGGCAAATCACAATACAGAACAAAATTAGGCGTATGCATGGATAAATGTGATCTTTTGGGAGTCAGAGAGCTTTTGTAAAGGGCAATTTCACTATTCCACTGGAGTTCTTTGAGGGAGGCAGCAAGCGTACAGATGAAGGAGATCCAGCTGACAGCCTATTTACACAGATATATCCAAACTTTGTCTGACAAGGCCTCTCAACAAAGAAATAGAGGTCTTTAAGAAATTAAGCGTGCATTGTATAAGAGGGAAGGTCCCCACAAGAAGGAACAAAAAGACAGGAAAATGCCAATAAACATAACTGTTTTTACAGAGAAGGGAAAGTCACCAATGTTCAGTGACCCTCTGGGGCCTGTGCTTTTCAGCTGACTTACAAATGATCTGGATCAAGGCTGACTTGTAGGTGACAAGACTTAGTCAAATACTTCAGAAGAACCTTGCCAGATCCAGGGACTAGACATCAAAATGGCAGATGAAAACAAAACAAATCAATGCACATAGGGATAAACAATCCTAATCCTCCGAATCCTTCACATTCAGAATGAGGGGCTCTAACTTGACTATTACTTTAACCATTACTGTCCAGAAGTGAGAACTTAGGAGATATAAACACAGTTCTATGAAAACATCAGCTTAATGTTCAGCAGTATTCAGAACAAACAAAAAGCAAAGTGAGTATTTTGAGTAATTAGGAAAGGAAAAAAGAATATCATGCTATTGGCAAGGTACACCAGCATTCTGAATACTGTGTGAAATTCTGGATGCTTATCTCAAAAAGAATGTAGCAGAACTGGAAAAGCTTCACAGAAGATTGACAAGGAGGATCCAAGCACGGATCAACTTCCGGATAGGGAATGACTAAGCACGCTTAGGTTCAAAAACCTAGAAGAAAGATGACCGAGGGATATGATGATGGCCTCTTATGAGAGGCCTAGCAAATGTAAACAGGGTAATGACTACTCACGCTTCCAACACAAGCGCTAAGGAGGCATCAGATGAGATTAGCAGCAGGTGGCAGAGTCAAAAACAAAAGAAAGCAGTTCTCCTCATAACATCTAATTAAACCTACGTTCCTTGCCATACGTTAATCTGGAGGATAAAAGTTTACAGATATTTAAAAAGTAAGTGAGCAAATCTGTATAGGAAAAATTTCTCCAAGGGACATGAAATACAAGATGACACCAGCTTTAGCTCAGAGAGCACCTAACAGATTTCAGTTCAGGGACGACAAGATATTCTGGTGAAGCACTCCTGAAAGTGTGCGTGTTCTGACGTTCTTTCCTTTGTGTTTGTTGCTGGTCGCTTTTGGAGACTCTATATTAAGCTATTATCACTGGATGATCTAGCATATCCATTCTGCTCTTCTTTTGAAGAGACATGATTACCTGTGCTACGTGTGATAAAGAGTCATAAAGGGTGCCCATAAAGAACTGGCAAATATCCTGTGAACCAGGGCAAGATCATGAAGTGCATGATTTATAACGACCAAATAACGATACCAAATGAGATTTTATTTGTCTAATAAGGCAAGTTCAGGAGTCAAGCACAGCTTTAGCAATGATTTAAGTGAGCTTCTCCCAGTTCAAATTTATATACTCATGTACAAACATGACACAGACATGCTGACACAAAATCTGTACATAGCTGCTTCTGAAAGGCTGACTAAGGTAGTTCAGCTATTTTCTTGTAAGAATGCTGAGAAGTGACAGTACTGAAAAGTTAAATGGGCAGTGTGCCACTTTCCTTAAACAAAACAGCTTTGGATTAAGTCAGGACTGAGAAAGGTTTAAACTTACATTCGCTTCTGCTTTAACACTCTCAAAGCTTTCTGCTTTACTGTATTCTGAAAGAGATGCAATATTACAACATTAGGAAAAGAATTTGACTTTACTCTGGCTTATACTATTTGAACATAATGTTTGTCATTTAAATTTTCCAAAAGATTCTTCAGTTACTAGTGCAAAGTGTTTAACAGTCACAGTGTTCATTCCGCACTAATGAGTAATCAAGCAGGCTTGTGTGTATGTTGCTAATAGCAAATACATTCAGAACTTCTAGCTTTTGAATTCTTTTTTGATAAGCAGAATAATCAGTCAAATTTGATCAATCAGAACCATCTTTCATTAACACATTGGAATGGCCAGCATCAAATAATGCTGCAAAGTACTTCAGGAATACTGTTTGTAATACATGTTTGTCCCCTTGCAAAACTGAGTTTTCCTACTTCATTTCTGAACAGTGCGGATCTTTTCTGCTGGCAGATGAACTAAACAACCTCTCTACTAGACTTGATTCAGATAACAGAAGGAGGAAAGGAAGCAAGCAAGTTTCTTCTGTTCCGGAAAGTCACACTACACTCTAGATGAGACAAAGAAAACCCAATGAAAACCCAACTGTGTTAAGATGCATGTCTGAGAGAGACTTCAGATTAAAAATAAACCTGCAAGATCTTATACCACTTCAGTGACGCTAGACAATTCTAAGAACCTGAAGAACAGGCTACGATATCAACCCATGACAAAAAGCCTGAGTTAATCCTCTCATGCTTAAATCCCGCAGAAGATTCTTACCTTTGCAGGTCCCTCTCTCATCTTCTTCATTTGATCCTTATACTTCACTAGCTCTGCATCGAGCCTAGCGATTTTCTTGTCAATTGACTCAGCTCTGCTATCCACCTTTGATACAAGACAGGGGAAAAAAGAAAAGAAAAAAAAAGAGAGAGGGAAAAACATTAATTGAGATGTTATTCATTGGACAATAAAATAACAGCCTTGCTTTGAATATGTCTTTGAATGATTTTTTCCACTCAGTGGTTTTATAAACAGTTTAAAGTTTGTAAGAAAAACCAAAAATCAGAATCAAGTGAAACATCTTCTACAAGAAGCATAAGAAACATTCTGAGGTTGCAGTAAGCTCTGCATGTAACGGACTCTCTTCCTTTTGGGATGCTCCTTTGAATACCCACTCAGGTCACAGGCTCTGCTCAGGAACTTCTGACCATGCACAGCGCCAGGGACTAGGCCAGAACAAACACAGAGCAATTCAGGCGTGCCACACTGGCAGATGAGGACACAATGCAAGAGGGACAGGGACATGCCCAGCAAGACTAGAGGCTTACTTTTGGTGGGCAGGGAACATTAAACCTTCAGACTCATACTTGTTCTTTGATATCTGGATTACTGGCTACGTTTACAAGCCCAGATATAAGCACTGTTTTAGTCACTTCCCAAAGGCACCTAACTTGTGTCACAGCTGCACTTCTCCATCACTTCCTGCAAAGGAAGCCGGGACATAGCAGTTCTACATAGTAAGTAATCTGAATTCCTTAATGTACTTTTGCTCTAAATCCCAGTAGTAGCTGAAATAATGTAGTAGAACACCTCTCCAGCAGTCAATCCTAACACATCCCAAAGTGGATCACATGGCTGACATTACGGTAACATTTTAAGCTCACTGCACAGCGGGGTAACAGAAGATAATTACAGCACCAAAAATAGATACAGATTATTCTAAAAGCATACACAAATTAAAAAAAAAAACAAGGCCTTCCTATGATACATTGATAATTGCAGTATTCCTTTGAAAGCATCAAAATATAGCTTATTAGCTTTTCATTCCAAGAATCTAGGGATTAGAATATAATTAAATTCCAATTTTAGTGTAAACCAGTGTAAATTTACAATTCTGAATTGCTATCAGTTTATCTAAATATATTTAATCATCACCATTTTAATTTTTGTATCTTTATGTTCCTTTTAAACCTCTGTTCTGTGAGAGCAACATGCTTTTGCCACAGGCATTTTGAGCAGTGCATTTGATAGGAAAGCTCTCTACACTAGAGATGAAAGTGCTCAGTCAGCTGGCATTGAAACATTTGCATTAAGCTTTTCATTATGCCAAACATTTTATTAATAACAAGAAAATAAGCTATTCATGATTTTGAAAGTCTTGTAGGTTCCAAGTCTAGCAAGTCTTCAAGGTGTTCATCAGCTAAGTGCATCTTTAAGGCCAGCCTCCTTCACAGGGGAAAACCAACTATTTAGACAAGAGTCTAGAATGATACACTTAGATCTGCCTCAGTCCCTTTGCTTGTAATGCCTGTTATCTACATAAGAATTTCACAAACATTACACAGAATCTGAACTTTTAAAACCAAATCGAGTATCATGCATATACAGTACATTTGCTTCTGCAAAATTAGCTAAGGTGTGCTGGTGTTTCACCTTCCAAATCCAGAAACTTGACGTTTAAACGCACGGTTCTGCGTAACAACGAAACTACACATACATCAGAAGGGGAAAAAAAGCCCTTCAAGAATTGATCTAATTTATGCAAAAGACAACGTGATTATGCTTTAAGACTCAAAGCGCTTTCTGTTATTCACAAACAACACACAGAAGAGCCTTTTCTGTTGCTAAAGAGCCCAACCTAAATGCAAGAAAGTGAAGCAGCATCCCAAATCTCTATTAACCAAACTAGCAGCTTATTCCATTATTAAAAAACAAAGAAAACCACACACAGCAATTTTTCACATGACGTTCTTAACGTTGTTGTTCCCAACAATTTGTTCCCAACAACTTTAAAAAAAAAAAAAACAACAAACTTCAGTCAGTTTGGAGTGTTGTTTCAAAGAAGAGCAAGTAAAAAGAATACCAATGCCACGGTTCCTGATCTAACCCTCCTCCCACCAGCCTTATGACAATTTTGAGCCATCAGGAAAGAAGGAAGCAGTGCAGGCACCGCAAGAGAGAGAGCAGGAACTGCAAGAGAGAGAGCAGCAAGACACCTTGGAGACTAACTGGAGATAGCACAGAAGCACGTCACAGCCAGCAGACAAACTCAACAGCAGCCAAACACCACAGAAAAGACTGGAGAAGCTTTTCCTGCGTTTCAGCAAATGCTTTGGGTTAGAGGTCCCACATAATCAGCTCCTTAAATTCATAAATCTAGAATCATTTTAGATACTCTAACGTGATGTTTGTTTTCTCACCACTGAAAAAATGTATTGTCAGCTGATCATACTGGGTTCGCTCACACTCCCTTTGCACACACAGGAAAGAAGGTCCAAACAGTAGGCATAATTACTGCCTAACAGTTGTCTACCAACTTTTAACAAACTTTAACTATGAACAGAATAGCATCAGTGGATAACTGCCGTTTAATGGATAACTGACATTTTTTCTAGTGTTACTTAGAAAGTAAAGCAAGCAATCAAAAAAGCACAGTAACAGATTTTTACAAAGCAATTTGACCATCCTTCAAATGGAATAGAGAAACATGCCTAAAATCAAAAATGGAGAACTAAAAAGTATTTGAGTCTCCAAACTGTTGAATTTAACCTGCTAAAGAAATAGTATACGCTCCTGATATCTCACACTGCTCTTTTCAATGATCCTTCAAAAGTAATTTAAAAAAAAATAATTCTAATGATATCTCTAGTCTTTCAGCAGAACCTATATTTTACCTACTAGGGATTTCTCTACTGAGAAAATGCGCTGAAAACACGGTAAGTTTTTGACAAACCAGACAAATCACTTAATGTGACAGCAAGAAAAATTCATTCACAAATTGAGAACTTCTTTTAAAAGGAAGTGTTTTTCTCCCCACACTTACTAATATGCATAATTGTTTTAAATTTTAGTCTCATTCACAGAAATTGAAAGTTGTTGAAATAGGAGAAAAAAAAGCTAACATGGAGGTCAGTAATGATAAAGTGGTTTATAGCCTTCCTCATGTCAAACATCCGCGCTTAGAGTCAGCACGTCATTTCTGAAGAGTGAACCAACACAGACTCTTGATCTCGCATCTTAAAACCCATAACTCATCATTGGCTGCCAAAAAAATAAGTCACAGGTGTAAAATGAACCTGGAATTCTACTTTTCAGTTAACCTGATGCATCTTGAACAGCAAAATGTAATTACAAATAACCAGAAAAAGATCAAAACTGCACGCAGCTCCTAGTGGGTCGTGGGTTTGATTTTTTTTTGGGGGGGAGGGGGAGGAAGCCTACATTGTTAATAAAAAGGAGCTGTGTAAATTACATTTTTATGTACCCCCAAAATCAATGGGCATTAAACAAGCTCCTTGTGGAAGCAAAGCTGCTAGCATGTCTAAATCTGAATGGTCTTACTATGATTTGTCCCAGTCATAGAGAGCACACGTTAACTTGGAAGAGGCAAGATCAGTCCTGAAAAAATCTCACAAACTAAGATGCGTTTTGTTGCTGTGAGAGAAAGAAAAGATTTCCTGGTCTTCAACTTACGTTGCCAAAAAGGCAAATGTAAGTATCAAACAAGAGCATCTCAAAAGCATTTCAGACTTTGGGTTATCCGCCAAAGCATTCACTGCTAACGATGAGAAAGTTTATCTTGGTTTTTGAGCGTACTTTTTATTCGTGGTCCAAACTAAACGTACTTGGAGCTACGTTTTGGTTCAACACGTAAAAAAGCAAGGCTAAAAAAAGCAAGGCAGCGTCTTAGCAAAAAAAACAAAAACAAAAAACATTAACTATGACCACTTCCCCCCATCCCAGCTACTGGCTTAGGCTAAAGACTGGTGTGCAGCAGTTTGTGTAGTTGTTGCTAAAAAATATTAGGCACTTCAGTTTATACCACAAGCATTACCAAGAGTATCTGAATTTGCCAAGAAATCAGACAAATATCCAAGATCGCTGAGTTCTTTTTCACCTCTTAAACTGTAAAAGCATACCCCGTTTTTCTTTACGGATTAAAAAGCCAAAAGAGGGTACGAAGTGACTAGATTCACCTTTTCAAAACTTTTCCAGAACCCTTTTTTCACCCAGACTGGCCAACCTTCAAACAGCTGCGAAGAGTTCCACCGCCTCTTTCCTCGGTGTTTCTCACTCGGGCTGCTTTAACTGTCAGTTGGCCCAGACGTTCGCCACTGACCCTACAGCAAGCCGCTCCGCAGCGCGGAGAGAACAACAGCACCCTTCTCTCTCCATCAACCTCACGTGATGTCTCCCCCGTTTTGCGCTGGGGAGGAGGGCTGCTGCTCTCGCTGCCGTCCCTGCCTTCCCACAACCTGGCAGGGCAGGAGCTAGCCAGAGCAAGCAGGACAGCCGAGAAGAAGAGACAAAGACGCGCACTCAGCTGTAGGTACGCACGCATGCCGTGCGCCCCTGCCCTCTTAAGCGTGTCTTAACTCACATACGAAACTACGCACTCAGGCTTGCCGTGGTAGACGTGGGCACCGCCCGCGCCTTCGGGGTGCGGAGCGCCCGGCCCACG